TGGTTCAGAAAAGACTGTTGGACTCTTGAGGCAAATTACTTCTCCCCCACACCCCCCACATCCCCTCCCACCAGTCGCGGTTGCACGTTATAATTCCTTGGCTGCTTACCGTTTACTTGGACTCATTAAAAAGATCAGCCAGTTAAAAAGTGATATACGATCGTGTCGATGTAAGAATTTCAGTTTCAAAGTTGTAAGCGTCAGGTCTGTTGGGGGGGTGGGGTCCGAACCCCCCGGAGTCTCCCCCTGGATCCATCACTGTGATCTATTCCCAACTTAAATTTATATTCAGACAGAGCCATGCCACTCTATCTGAAATCTATTGAGTTTCAGTTGCTTTATTTCCTTTGGATGATTTATCAGTATAAAAATTGATAGTCGGCAAACTTCTCTTATTTCTTGAAAGATAACACTCCTATATTTTATTGTCAGCCGTTTCACTGAGATGAAATTGAATATTCAGTCATATTCCTCGTCTAACTAAATGTAGGAGTTTGTCACCGATTCGGGCTCTTATAAACTGTGTTAAGCAGTTGGCATTTCTCTTCTTTTATTAAGTTTGAAAATACCCATAGTGATGACACTGTTGATAAGCTAATTTCAAGTGGAGCCGAACAGCACGCTATGAATATTTGAACGAATCCCCGTTTAAAATCTTATGTACTTCAGGTTTTTTTATTTCTTTGTTTTATTTGTTTATTTATTTATTTATTTTTTTGTGGACAAAACTGAATGGGTCAAATCCTTTTATGAAGTTGATTTCGCCCTCAAAATGCGTCGTCGTTCTTGAAAACTTAGTTATCAGATCTCAGACGGAGGATAAAATTGCTGGCGAGAATGAAGTCTTATTCATCTAATAGAATGTTAATTAGCAGTTAAAACTTCCACTTATGATGCGGTAATTTCAACTTTGTGTAACTTAGCAGTGTCACTTTTCTACCCTTTTGTGGTCCTAAATATGCATGTTTAGCCAATAGAATAAAAGGACTCCAACAGGAAATGTAAACAGTCTTAACGCTTTAGGATTTTGTGTTGAGAATAATCCAATGATTGTGTTATTAGGAACAAAAGGAAAGACAAGTCGATCATTATTTCAAGTAAAAGAATCACAGCTTGGTGACCTTTTTTCTACAGGGAAAGTGACACGAAGAATGATTGATTTATATCCGGTTGCTTCTAATTTTTGCCACATAGAATGCGAAATGTGTGAAAAACGGACACCAAATCGAAAGTAAACACGGAGAAAAGAACTTAAGAGATTACTCTTCAATATAACCATTGTTTTATCCTTTGTAATGCTCGACGCAGTAAACAAGACGCCGATGGTTCGAACTGACATCTCTCTAGCTTTCTTTTTCTTTTTTGATGTTCTCCATAACTTTCTTTCGAGATATCTGCAAATGATGCACCCTGCTCTATATTCCTTCTATCTACTGACGTCGCAGAGTAGGGTATGAGACCTGTAACCAGCAGAATATCTTTGTTAGAGTTTACTTCGGAGTGTGATTAAAGGTCAAGTTCTCAAAATGAACCGATGTTGTATGGGATTGAAATACTCTTCTTACTAAGTGTAAATGAGATAAGCACTGTAAATGGTATTTGACAGTCAAGTTGTCTAATTTCGGTTCCTGTAGTAAGTGGACGCTGCCGACTAGACTAAAGCGATCACTCCGCCTTGAACCCATCCGCAGTGCCTCGTGTAAACAAACAATAAGTGCAGTTGAAATTTACTAGAAGCAATCAGTTTTGTCGTTCCGTTATTGGTGCATTAGGACTTTAACATTTCAATCAGTTTTGTCTTGAGTGGCAGCCTCTGCTCAAAACAATCAACGTGCATGGGTTTACCTCGACGATTAGCTGGAACATCCGTTCTCAACGTCAATCATTTATTAACATACAAATTACTTTATAACCACATCCCTGATAAAGCTCTTACGAATGGTTTACGGAACAGTATTGGGCATTTATAAAGAGGAGGAGGTGGCGTTGCGATGTCTCTTTTAGATTCGCACTTTACTCGGTGAACTATAATTTCATTTCACACTTTTTTTTTGCGAGTACTTCTTTCTAACCATCCTCACCTTGGGAATCAGTGAATGAATTCCCAGTATTCCATTGGCGACTAGATAAAGCGCGCGGAGTGATGCATTGCGGTCGAGCCGCGAGTAAGAAGAAGGCAGGGTGTTTGTGTTTTCGGCGGGGTACTGCGGCAACCACAGCGAAAATGGGCAGTCTGCGAGAGCTGCAGCAAGCCCTCCAAGAGAAAAACACCGAGATGAAAATGAAGGATAGCCGTATCTTGGCCTTGGAGCAGGAATTGAAAAGGAGAAATCAGTTGATCCGCCGACTCGAGAGCGAGTTAGACAAATATCGTTCTGTACTCCAACCGGCCGTAGCAACTCGCACTCGAAATCAACGCCAAGGAATTTCAGCTGAGCCACAAGGCTACAAAACGGTCACCGATGCCTCTCAGCCACCTAAGAGACACAACAAAAGTTCCAGGCAAGGGTCATTTTTATTCTGTTGTTCTTATGTAGCTTTAGAATATGTGGGGGCTTGATCGATGGCTGAAAATATCTCTATGTCGATAACCGTGTCGATTAGTATGCGCGCTTGCAGCTTTGCTGATCTTTTAAGTGATCTGAAAGTTATTGGTGGCCCTTTTATCGCAAAATACGCGCGGCTGTAGACGATTGCTACTTTTTTCCGCCGCGTGTTGTCAATATTTGCGGTCACTGAAAACCATCGAGGAACGCCAACGCAAGATAGGTAGAAAAAACGAATTTTCAATGTGAGCCCGAACCTTCAGACACTAACATGGGGAAAATTGCGCTTCGCAGAAGGGGTGATTGTCTAAGTCAGCGATACGATCTATCTTCCTTTCGATCGTTGTCGCTGAAGGTTCGTTGGATGTTAGATCTCAGATGATCGCCTTTGAATTAAAGACCGTCTGTGCGTGCATGGCTACCGGTAGTTCTTTGGTTCTTGAAATGTGACACTTTTAGTCAAAGTGGCCGATCGTGAATTTAATTTCTTCGTTCGTCGCAAGCACGCACAGTACCCGTTTGATCGCATGAATTTTTCCTCAGTCTTGATTGCGCTTCTTTTCATGAACTTCTAGTGCATTTCATGTGATCTTTTCTTTGTTGTTTTTATTGTACACTTCAAATCGACAACAAACCACATTCGGCGAGAGCTTAAGATACACAATGTCGATCGAATCACGCTTGGTTGAGTTCTAATATTTAGCAACTTGCAACATCGCGCAGGAGTCTCTTTCTTCAAATACACTGCATTACGACGGAACATTTTATGCCGAGTCATTTTTAAAGATACGTTTACTTAAATTCTAACATGTAAAAACGCGCTGAAAAGGATACTTATTTATCTTAATTGTGCTTCATGACTTTTCGAGTAGCGAGCATTCTCTGATATTGACATGGTCACAGATCCAGTTGGTGTAAGGGCGTCCACGAGCCTAACACACTTCTGTTCCATTATCTCTTTCCCAGCGATCTGAAGTTTACATCGTTTTGGGCACGGATTAAAGTACCAATGATTGCCAGTTTAATTTTTATTTTTGTTAAGCTGTACGGTCAGAAGATGGTTGTTTAGTTTGGGTCATATTTTATCAGAATGTTAAGCTTGAGGTTTTGGATAACAGCGAAGCTCCTTCTGCTTTGTAAGGGTGGTCTGACGAAACAACCTGTTAACTGAATATTTCCGGGCTCTGGCTCGCCGTTTATTTTAGATCGATTGATTTGTACCGACACAAGATTGTTTATTGCTTCGGCAAGTGCTTTTATGTCGAACAACTCGCTGTTTGGTTTCTTATATTGCAATTGATGCTTTGATACTGTTAGTCTCGCCATTAGGGAGCTCCATTCGTGTATTTATTATAAAAATTCTAATATTTTGGCAGAGGTTTTCTTACAGAACGATATTTACATATATAATGGTCGAAGCATGTTAGATATAGGCTAACTAGGTTTTGAATAAAAGAATGTATGTTCGGCTACGCAAAAAAATAAAGACAAGATTTTATATGTGCGGAAGAAACGAGGCAACTTTTCATAAATATACACAAAATTGAGAGAAGCTTTAGTTCCCTGTTGGAGTGTAAACATTTTGAAGTCGTGGATTTTGTTTTTCTTCAGATTGCTTATTATCAGTGGCTCACAAAAGCCAAAGATTACGGCATTCAGTATTGTAATGACATATCTTTCTCAGCACAGCATTTATGCGCATGCTTTGAGTTAGAGGACAAGTGTATGTTTGTTTCATCTCACAAAAGACGTTTTTTTCGTTCCTAAAAGAAATTTAAGCAGTCATTCACGAGCATGCAAGCATTCTGTTGTGATTTAAATATTTCATCATATAAATAGCCCTTTCATGCAGCTCCTGTGTATATTATACACTGAAAAATTAATTTTGTGGTAAAGTTACAATTTCTTCTTTTGTTAGGAATTCTTTGATACAACATGGTAAATTGCAAGGAATTATCATTTCTTGATTTACATAGGAAGCAATAAATTTATACTAGGATGGAGAAGTATGCCTGAAAGTAGCTCATAATCTGATGCTGTAATCTCTTCATCAAAACAATCATTGTTTGGGTTGAAACATGTCTTCAGTAGCTTGTGAAGTGCACCTGTCCTTTGCCTAAAATACCTAGACTCTAAGGAGGCAAAATTTAACTTTCCATCAATAATATGAAAAAAAGGAAAGATATTTATTTTGAGGTTAATTTCGTCCTTAAAGTATAGGGGTGAAAAAAAGTGCAATTAAAGATTTCTTTAATTCAGAAATCTTTACTGTTTTATTGGCATGTAGCCACACTTATCAGCCACAGAATAAAAAATGTAAAACATAATCAAAGCAGATTAAAAAGACAGGTTATATTGTAAATGCCATTTACCCATAACAGGGCTCTCTAGATTTTAAAAATTCTAGACATCTCGCTATCTAAATAGAAGGGTGACCCTGACTTGCCAAAGAAACTTTCACAAAGCTTAACATCTGCATATGTTGGGTATAAATCAAGATATGTTGGAAGAATTTAAAGGTGTTGTTTTATCAGCTAAGATTTAAATATAAAGAAAAATGCTCACTTATTTGAATAAAAGGTGAAAAAAGGAAATTTGTCTTAATTAAGGTAGAATTTAGTTTCATTTTCATCAATTTGTGCAGCATTGTATACAAGTTTTATTGTATAGTGGGAATACCAGGTTACCAATTCTTCACTAAATCAAAGAAAGGTCCATTGAATAAAAGAATGCCAGATAGTCGAGTTATCAGGCAAATGAAAAAACTTCATTGTTGTCCTTGAGAGGTCAAACATAATTATAGTATATTGAACAATGATTTTTGTTTGAGTATTCAAAAACATTGTTTGGGCGATTTGTTGGCTAAATTGAGGCTTTGAAAACTGCTCTGGATTTTGTAGCTTCATATGGTGTGATATCTGGATAAAAGCTGAGAAAATGCAGTTGATGTATTGTAAACAAGCATATGAAATGAAATAGCTTTGACACTTGCATATAATTGAGGACATGATGGTTTTTTAGGTCAATGAAAATTGTCATTTGGCATGTCTTGTCGTGATTATGCACATGGCTTTGTAAAGAGTACTGATTTTTAAAAGTTGCAGTTTATGTTAAGAAAAGTTGCAGTTTATGTTAAGAAAAGTTGCAATTTACGTGAAGAGATGCAGTCTTATAACCTTAAGGTCTCACTTGTACAAAGGAGAAGTCAGAAACCACACTATTGATCTCTTTGAAATTCAACTTCTTTGTATATCCATCTAATTAGAGTTCAAATATTTCAACAAGCTTACTTGGACTATTATTAATCCAATTACCAGCCAAAAAGAAAGAAAGAAAAGGAAAAAATTCTGACTTCATCACAGAGGTTCTACATGTATAATCATGAAGCACTTTTGATTTTTTTTTTAAAGAAAAAAACTTCTTAAGACTTAGATAGATGCGTATTTGAGGCATTTTTCTTGCCTTTCACCCTTGTATAGTTTTTTACTAACATTTACACCATCCTTTAGTTTTGCAACCTGAGAAACTAATTGGAAAATCAGTTATTACAATATTTTGAAAATAGTTATTTTAATGTTCTAGCTTTGTTCAGAAAGAGTTCTTTTTCAATTTCATGGCTATTTTAGTTTGTTGCATATCATATAATTTTTTTTAACAGGGTTCTCCTCATCAGGCAGTAACCAGTAAAATTTACTGCTTGTAAGAGCACTTATTACTGCTTGCAAATGCTCAAAAGTCTTAAAAAAATATGTATTAATGGTAAGCTAATCTGGTAGGCAAGTAATAGATGAAAAAAATAAACAGTGCCAGGAGTTTCATTAAGGGCCAGGTACCTATAAATAATATGTATTTGACCTTCTTAAATGATATTCACAATGATTTTCAACTTCATCTTCTAAGAAGAATCACAAGATAAAGTAAATTTGCCCTACAATGCAACGCGAAAGTTTTTGTCCCATGTGATTCTGAAAATTGCGAGTTTTGGCAATCAGTAAAGAATGTGCTTGATCACAGAATATTTTTCTTCTTGACCCAACAAATCTCCGCCTGGGAAAATGCGATATGTTGAATGGCATTAATTTGTGCTTTTGATACAGCTAATGCCCTATGAATATGTTCATGGTCAATTTTGGAATCCTTGTAAATGATCATTATCAGTAGACAATTGTTTTCAACCAACCCATGAAATGTGTTTTATATTCAAGAAGATTTGTTTTTTTCTCTAAAAAGTTCTTTTTGTGCCCTTGAAAATGGGACGGTGGAGTGTTCTCTACTGTAAATATGTTTGGAATGAGAAGTCTAAATGTGGCATTAAGGAGCTGGGCATGTGTGAAGCATGAAATTAGCACCACTCTCTGGTTCACAGGTCTTGAGTAAGCTAAATAATAAAACAACGTATTATCATATTTTTAGAACATTTAAAAGAGTTCAAAGAAAAAGAAACAAGTTCAAATAAAGCTTTTCAGTTTGTTTTAAAATGCAGAAAAAAATTACCTTTTGTATAGAAAGTAAATTAAATTAAAGATTGTTTGGGCTTTGATTGTGCTCTCAAACGGTTGCTTAGCATGTGTTTGATTTCTTTCTGGCCAGCTCATGGTTCACTTTCTCTATAACATACAACTGAAGTCGAGCACAGAACTGTTCCCGGGGACATTAAAAACCACTCCAAAAACTAACTATTAATCTTGTATGGAATTGCTTTGGATGTGTTGAATTTTAATCAAGTGACAAGGAAAATCTATTTCACTGTGGAAGCAACTGGCTCTCCTACATTTAGACAAAATTTTCCTCTGTTGTTGAATGCACGACTCTGTGTAATTGACAGAAATCTCTCATTCACAAAACTTGCAAAGAAAGATCCCCAAGGTGTTTGTTTATAAACCCATCAGCAAGGCTGTGCTCTAAGAAAAAGTGAAGGGAGCCCAGTGCTCTGAAACTATGAAATCTAGGGTGCCCAGCAAATGCTTTTTATAAAAAAAAACTAAGATTCCTGAGTCACCCAAGAGCAAAAGTAAGGCGCCGGGGGTCATTGGGCATTGCTAGACCACAGCCCTGGTCAGTATGAAATTATAAACATCATCAAACACCAGGTTAAGGGTCTCCTTCCTGTATGAAAGTCCTGGTAAATCATTAGTTGTATGGTATCAGTGGGTTGGGAAGGGCTTATGATAGTGACTATGACTATGTTGACACAGATTGTAGCTAATCTTGCTACCTTTTTGTACCTTCATAGATCTAAGGAACTTATTAAGGATGCAATTTTGGACAATGATTTCCTCAAAAAGTTGGAACCATCACAAATCCGTGAAGTTGTTGAATGCATGTATGAGAGGAAATGGAAAAAGGATGAATTTCTTATCAAGGAAGGAGAATCAGGATCACACCTTTATGTCCTGGAAGGTAGATGTTTTGTTTCATTATTAACAAGTTTGAAATAAGATCACCAGATTTACATATTTAGAAAATAAATAAATCCTTGTTGAGCAATTTTGAGTACTCACCACTGGAATATAAAGATTTTTCTGTAAAACTTTCACAGGAAACTTTCTAATTTTGAGGTAAACCTTTTTATAACAGGGCTAGCAGAGCCGCGCAATCAAATTCAGTGTACGTAAGTGTGCTCAAAATTCCGATAGTTCACGCTGATAGCGCGAGCAAATCTCTTTGCCAGAATTTTTTTTCGCGTGAGCAGCTATTGTTAGCGTGGGGAAAAATAATACATTTCATGACAATAATGGATACAAACAGAGACTCGGCCCACCAGTCCCAAAACGAAGGCAATTTTCCGACCTTTTCCCTTGGGCTAGAGTTCTTAAATGAGGCAGTAAAAGAGAAAAACAACAAAAAACCAATTTGAAACCAATTAGAAACCAGTTAACACCCCATCCAGGAAAGAGTGAAGTGATGCTACTTTGTAGGGGAAACCCAATGGGGCCGATAGCCCCGGTGTTATTGGGTGACTCCAGTATAAACTGGGTGACTAAAGCATGTGTGTTAGGCTTGACAGTTGAGCACAAGTTAACATGGGATGAACATTTAATGGATGTTAAGAAGAGTTTTGCTAGCAAACTAGACCTGTTAAAACGATCTAGATTCTTGCTAAAAGGTGTTTTGAGAGACTTCTACTTTAAGGTTATTTGCCCTCTGTTAAATACGGACTAGTACTGTGGGAAGCGTGTTGTAACTCAAATTTACTTGATTCAATTGAAAGACTTCGTTGTAGAGCATCTCGAATCATTTTTAACATATCAAGAGACATGCCTTCAAAAGAGGTGCTGGCCTATGATCAGTGGCCCACTATTTATTTATATTATAAAATGGACATTCTTAAGATCTTTTTTAAAGTACAAAATGGTGGCTTGCCTGAATTGCTGTCTAATAATATTTACATAGAAAGGAGTAATGGATATTCACTACAGGGTGGAGACTGCTTATCAGTACCAAGATTCTTAACTAGATTTATGAAGGATTCGCTGGCTTACAGAGGCGCCGTTCTGTGGAATATGATTTGTCTCAATGAGAACGGAACATTGCATCTGAGCAACAAAGATTGATATCTGATAAGAACAAAAGATTACTTCAAGGATTTTAAATTCAAGACTACCTCCGCCTCTACAACGTGGCGTAAAAATGCAGATTTTATATATAATTGACGATTACTAATGAACATTTTAGTGATATTTTACCCATTCAGTAATGATTTTATCTCTTAAAAAATAAATTTAATGATGAGTAGCACGGTCACGCCACCATTACAGGGTCCGAAAATTATATTTACCCATATCTTCGCGAAAAATGTATGAATGCCCCTCAAACTTTACAGATAAACTGAGTAATAGTTCTTGTTTGATATGAAATCAATAACAAAATTCAAGCGATAAGTTTAGAACACGAATTAAAGTCAATTGTTTACAAAAAGCACGACATTTTGAGTGTAACGCGTAACATCGAATTTGCATACCAAGAGTAAAAACGTAATTTTTGTCCCTCAAAACGAATAAAAGCTTAAAATTTTATCATGCCTAATTATTGTATATAATACAAATAGACTTTTCACAAAATTTCATTGCTCTGTGTTTTTTATTGAGGCAGTAATAAGTACAAACTACAATATAAGTTCTTGTGTGTTGTCCTGTAACGCTGGATTATAAACAGACTTCACAGTTTACAGAATTCAGGCTTTTGGCGACCAGATTAACCTAAAAACAATAATAATTACATCTGAGAAAAGTTCATTCATTTTCCTTTAAGGCTCTGTGCAAGATAATAGCAAATCATGAAATGCTGGGAAAAATATAGCGATTTTGCATATCGGAAACAAATTTGTAACGAGTTTTGATTGCATAAATTCAACCATTACTTACCTATTTCGAAGCCGATAAATCAGCGTAGAGTAGTCCATCACCATATAGAGAACGACCAAATCAAAGTTCATTCTATCAGACATCTAGATTCGTAAGAATTTACGAGCTTATAGGAATTTTCGCCGAAGAAATGGTACAAAGAATGAATCGAAACATATTTTCTGCCTAATGTGTTGTTTATAGACGCTTTGCGATCATATTACATATTCAATTCGGACCAGAAACACTACAAGCCGCTCTCAAAATCGACCCAAATCATGGTCACAACGTGCAAGAAACGACGAAGGCCAGCCTGTGCAGCCTTGACTGATAAGTTTTGGGGGGATACGGATATTTTCAGGGTTTAAACAATAAAAGCACGTGGTATATTTAGCCCGAAGCGTGTCGACTAGCGTTACACTCGATTTCTCAATCACAATAATAGCAGCGTGCTTCAAAAATTAATCAAGCGATTCCGACAAATTATGGAAACAAAACCCCAATCAAGTGCTGAAAAGATGAAAAGATGGAGAGAACAAAAGGCTGAGAGAAAGAAAGCTACTGATAAAAGATACTACGAGAAAAAACGCCAACAGAAAATAGCCAAGGTGCGTGACAGCCGAGGTCAGAAAACTCACCGGCCGAACACTAGGGCACAAAACCTGAAAGCTGTTACGAAGAAACGAAAAAGGGAAGAAACATCAGCAGAAGAAGAAAGAAGACAAAAAATCAGAGAGCAAACTCGAAAAAGAGTACAAAATTTACGTGAAAAACGGCGAGCTGAATTGAGAGAAGCACATGAAGAGCATGCTACAAATGCCGCGGAGTATACGTGTTCAACCCCGCCTTCTAGTTCCGCTTTCCAAAACAGGATGGCAAAAGCCCGCGCCCTAAAGAAAACAACTCAAGTTCTGCCAAAAACACCACAGAAGAAAGCAGAACTTGTAGAAACAATATCCTCAAGTAAAGCTGTACAGCTAAAGCGAAGGGTTTTCTTTTACGTACCGTCCTCTGGCGAAGGAGCTGTGGAAAGGAAGAGAGATGGCAGAAAGTTCAAAGAGGTGAAGGGAATTCGTAAGTGGCACTGTGTTAAATCACTTCCTCAGCAAGAGAAAGTGATGGTGAGACACAGGTCCTGCTACTGCACCAGCTGTATTTTTGGTGAAGAAGACAACTGTTCCAACAAAGAGTGGCTGGATGAGTGGAAAACCATTAATATCTTGAGAGATGGCTCAGTGGCAACCACTAGGCAAGCAAATGAAGAGCCAATTCTTGACCACGATACCGCAGTACATTTAGCAGAGCTGGCTGTGAAGGGCAGTACAGTGGCTATTGCTGCTGATGAAGACCCGATGTATGATTTTTATCTCCTCCAGGTCACCTCGGATGGAGTTGAAGAACTTGCCTCTGACTTCACAGATGATTACCACTGTACTGCACTAAAAGGTCAGAAGGTGTTGAAAGGCCACTTCTACTTACGAGAGAACATCCATGATATGACATTCACCCTTGATGTCAAACGCATTGCCATGGTATATGCCGCCACTGTGCGCCATATTTGTGGAGACCTTCCTGTGAAGCGGAGAGCCCGGAAACCTGTATATAAGCTTCCTTTATTGGAAAATGAAGAAATAATTGCTTCACTTTAAGCAAAAATAACCTTAATTCAACTGTTTTCTAGTACACAATTAAGTTTATCATGATTTCACAACAAAATATTGAATTGTAATGATTTTGACATGCCCGCAATGCATTATGGGTAAACCAGAAAATCGCAATAAATACTTAAATAATGTAAATAATATCAATTTTTGAAATAATATGTGCAATGTACATAGATACACACTATTTCATTGAGTAATAGATGAGATATAAAGACAATGATATTTTTTGGCTGTGTTACACTAAATGGACAGGTGATTGTGCTACTCATCAATGTATAATTCGTAATGCACTAGTTACTGAATCTTGTCAATATTTTGATATTTTATTCACATTAGGATTTATGTTTTTAACTATAAATACATGACCCCACAAGCTTGTAGCTTTAAATTTTTATCGTGTTTAAATAAAGGTCATCCATCCATCCATCCATCCTATTTTGCTTAATATTTCGCTTACTGCGAACAATCACTTCTGATATTGTTGTCGGTTTTTCACGTCGGATTTGATGCAAAATTCCACCGGCTATGTTATAAAACAATTGGTTCATGCTTTTAGTTGTGCACTATCGAGTTATGGAGTGTGTGGGAAGTTTGGAGAGCACTCAGGAAGCTAGTGTTGCCCTCGGCTATTGCCTCGGGCAACTCTTACACTTCTTTTGTGCTCTCCAAACTTCCCAAGAGCTCCATAACTTGATAGTGCATGCTAAAACATGAACCAATTGTTAATTAAAACTAGGTTATTTACTTGTAGCCAGGAACTTAAATGTAACATGATTTTTTTTTTCCAGAGGGTAAAGTCAAAGTCTTAAAGGAAGGGGAGGAAAAGGGTAATATGGGACCAGGAAAAGTATTTGGAGAACTTGCCATCTTGTACAAGTGCCCAAGAACAGCCAGTGTGAAAGGTAAATGTCTTGATATTGCTTTTTTCTTTTGTCGGTTAAATTGAAAAACACAAGCAGTGAAATGTTAGTTTTGTTGTTTGCAAACACAAGTAGGCCTTTCACTCCATTCTGATAGTTTCCTCTAATAAAGAAAACTCTAATTAGTTTTTACCAAATTTATGCCCATCTTAGGAATTGTCAGAGTAGGAAAGAAACATTTGGTTAGAGCAGACCTTAACTTTTTTTTTGTTTTATCTTCAGGCACAGTAATCATTTCATTTGTAATAATATACATGAAAAAATTATGCATGTCTGATTAGCTGAAAACAAGTGCATTTTTTGTGTAATGCAAGAACAAAGTTGTAACACAAGTGTTAAGTTGTAACATGGTTGCAAATAGACTTACAAAAGGCACATTTGCACTGATGAAATTTTGCCTTCTTGACTTTCTCCGGTGCCTTTTTTCATGAAAATTATTAATAAGTAACACCATGATTTTTACTGCAACTTGGTGTGAATAAGCACTTGCAAATTTTTTAAATACTGTAAACTGCACTCACTCTGTGGGCCCATGCCATTTTGTTGTCTTTGAAAAATTTACTCATGCTAATAAACAAATACTAATGTATGCTTATGCAAATCACAGGATAGTATGATCATACCAAATCAGTAGCATACATTTAGATAGAGTGTTATCTTTTACTATGTACCACAAGGAGCAGTCACAGATATATTTGGTGTCATTTTTATACCAGCTTATTTTGTCCATTTTTTATTTGTGTAGATATGTGACCTCTCTTGCGAAAACGTTCCTAACGGTAGGCGTTCGAACAGTGAACAGAATGGCATGTGAACGGCTAGGAAAGCTGTTCGAAACGGATACTGTGAACGGATGAATGGCTAATTAAAGTTTTCGAATGGATGAGGTCAAATGGATGAATGGCTAGTGAAAATTTTTGAATGGATGAGGTCGAACAGATGAACAGCTAATTTAAATTTTTGAATGGATGAAGTCGAACGGATGAATGGCTAATTAAAATTATCGAACGGACGAGTAGCTAATTTTTTGAACACTGAGATGAGCCTCACAGATGAGATCGAATGGATAAACGGCTAAGCGGTTGAACAAGTGATTGCCTGTAGAAATTATTTGAACAGATGGTTTCGTCAAAACGAATGCTGACACAGGCATCCCAAGCTCTCGTCTTGAGCCAAAGCGAAGGATTATTTCATGAAAGTGTCACACGTTGGGTGACGCGGTGTTAAGTTACGTGAGGTATTTGACACAATCTGTGAAAAGATCACTTGAAATGAGTTGAAACCCGATCGCTTGAATAACTCTACTTCACTTTCGGCCCATTCAAATGGATTATAATTAATATTTTTATTATTGAATTCGACCGATTAAGATAAGGTACAACCAAGGAACTTGCAAGCGCAAAGCATACAATTCGATACTTCTCAACTTCAATTCAGGTTTAAATTTCCATAATCCCAGCTTCCTTGTCAGTCCATAAAAAATGTGTTGCCTTGGCAACTGCTAACAACTTGTGTCAATTACTGCCATTTCACACAATCACAAAATGGAGAATTCAATGAGAGAAGATATAGATTGTGATCACACCGAAAATGTTTCTACCATTGTTGCCAAAGTGCTAAGTGAACGGCTGATGAATTTTCTTGAACGGATAGCTCAAACTGTTCGAACAGATGATGAATATTCAAGAACAGATAGCTGGAGGCGTTCGAATGGATTATAAATATTCAAGAATGGATAGCTAGAGGCGTTTGAACAGATGATGAAGTTTCTTAAATGGATAGCTCGAACGGTTCAAACGGATGAGGAATATTCAAGAACAGATAGCTTGAGGCATTCAAACGGCATGCCAATCCAGTCGAACGGCTATCCATTTAAAAACGGCTAACCGTTCGGAACGTTTTCCCGTGAGAGGTCACATATATTTATAATGTAGGTTTGTCACATGTTTTCAACACAAGACTTTGGTTTGGGAGACTGGGTGACCCCTCCCCACATTTTCAACATTAAGTTTATTTATCTTATCTTTTCTTATCTTATCTTGCTGTCATTTTGTGGAAACAGTGTTAATGTTTTGGATGTGTTCCTTCATTTTAGCTGAGAGTGATGTTAAGGTCTGGTCCATTGACAGGCAGACATTCCAGACAATTATGATGAAGACGGGAATGTTAAAACAGCAGGAACACATTGAATTCTTGAAAAGGTGATTTTAGCAGATGATGAATCAAAACTTACACTAAATTTATGTTAGATTTTCTGGTCTTTGTGAAGTTTAAGGGTTCCCATTTTGCAGAACCCAACCCCTCTTAAAATGATAATTGATTAGCGATGATGTCCATGTTGTAGTTGAAAATGATTTCAGATTGAAATGATTTCAAACTTGTTTGATTTGTATTTTTTTATGTCTAAGGACTATTTTAGTGTACCAAACCAAGAACAAAGGAGAAAACAAATCTTTTATCATTTTGAACTTAAATTTAATTAAGACTATAACATTTATTTGTTCAGGTTTAATGTCTTTCATTACCTAAATAAACAAAGGGCAGCACATACAGTGCTTTTGATCCTGCTTTGAACTGAGGTGAAGGTAAGCACCTCTAAATCAACTTCTTCTGTTCTTTAAATCTTAACTCTTTCACTTCCAAGACCCAATAAGTAATTCTCCCCATCGACTGTCATGTATTTCTCGGTAAATTTGGTACAATTTAGAATTAGAATTCGGTCTTATGTCTGGGTAACACCGCCTTGCTGATAAGCTTCTTATTTCACATAACCACCTTACAAAATAGTAATTTTTTTTTTCTGAAGCATCCCATTGGGTTGGGATCTTAAATCCCTGAATCTGATTGGCTAATGATACACTCACAACAGGTCCAGCCTTTATAATTTTTTCAAGGCATTTGCAGCAAATTGAAGAAACCTCAGCAGAAAAGAGCAAAGCAGCAGAAAATATTAAAAATGATATCTACTGGTTTAGGTAGCTCTATTTGAGGAAAACCTGTACCTGAGGTCATGAGTAAGTACAGCCTGAAGGTAGAGGGCAATACTCAAGACCAAGGGTACTTTTTCCCCCCACCCAGACCTCCTGCCTGGTAAATAACGTATAATCAATTGCCGAGAAAAGTAGTACATGTAAATCATTTGAGGGAGTTAAAGAGTGAAATATCTGTATGGGTTATCATTGTACCTTTCAGTGTTCCATGGCTGGCTAAGTATGGGGAAGACTTGCTCTGTAAGGTTGCTGATGTCATCGAGGAGGTAGGGTTAATGTAACAATCATGGCCATTGGATCATTTCTTTACAGTACTGTTAAAGACAAAAAAAAGTAATGTTTGGTAATATTGTCTAAAATAAAGGTTTAATTCCCTTGAAATCTAACCATTACTAATTGGTAAATCTTTTGTCAATCAATAACTTGTGTTGACAACTTCTCCCATGGCTGGCAAATCCTGACAACCCAGCCAGGAGTCCCCTCACAGGAAAGGGGAACAGGCACCTGTCACACTGAATAAACAGTGGAAAGAGGGAGAGAATGGTTGAGGAAAAACTGTCTGGGAACACTGTGCATACATGCTCAAAGCACACACAAGATTGCCTCAAATAAAGAGCTGACTATTAGAGAATGCTGATCCTCTTTGTTGTTTACTCCGTTAAATTGCATTTAACCTCATTTAACAACTGCATCGCTTAATGGAGGTTGTGTGCTAGAAGCATCCAGGAGCTTCCACTATTGGCAGCCAACTCCCAGATGGAGACTTCTCCCATCGCTAGCAAATCCTGGCAACCCAGCCATGAGCCCCCATGCCAAGCTGAAGGACCTCCAAGCTGAGTGCAATCAGCTTGGATAAATGGGGCTCATGACAAAGGCAGGCCATGGCCCCAAGAAAAACTGTCCAAATCCAATGGCACCTACTGACTGGTGTAAATGAGTTATTATGAGCATCTGCTATGAAATTCATCCTGCTACTGAGAGGATGCTATCCACAGGTGTCTGCATATACAGCGCCCCATGGTCTTTATGAGGTGGTCATGAATGCCCTGCTAGGCAGCTGTAGTTGCAACTCCAATTCTAAAGCTGTGACCAGAGAACTTTCCAGGAATGTCTGCAGCCTGTAGTGTAGATTGTAAGAACAAAGATAGACGGGCTTGCAAAAGAGAATGGCTATCTTCATAAATAAATAGGGGGCTGGTATGTGGCCCTTGAAGGTGAAGGTAGTTTGTCAAAGCTGCCATAGGACAGAGTGATGTGAAGCCACACCCAAGAAAAATGAAACAGCTCTGTCTGAAAGGATCAGTCTTTGTGCACTTAATGAACACCCTGAAACTTCAAGGATTTGTTGAGGAATCTACTTGCAGATCTGCTACTGTCAGATGCACAGAGAGGTCAAAAGGCCAATTAGTCATAAACTTACCTGCTCTAAGAAACCCAAAGAAGCCAAGGCAACAGGCTGCCCACAGCATGACTTTGTCATGGATAGAGAAGTCTAAAGACTTGCGCACAATGGTCAAAGGGTCTGCAGTCATGGGCTGATGCTGGGGAGGATTGGAACCCTGATTTCGTAGAACCCCTATTAAGAGCCACTGTAGCTGAATAAAGGCTGATAGTTTCGAAAGAAACTGTTTGGGGCTGCGTTGGTGGGAGTAATGAAATAATTTGGATATATCAACAAAGTTGAAGTGGTAAATTGGCCACGGTTACGATTACAAAAGCTGACGTTGCGAGCATTAGCCCTTCGTCGGAGCTGAAGACAGTCAGTGAGTGGGTCAGAATACCCATAATTGATGTGTAAAGAATGAATAGGAGATAGATAACCTTTGATAGAGGAGTGATGAAGATGATCTGCAAGGTGTGTAAAGAAATGCATCAACGTTTGTTCGCTGGCAGGTAGAAGAGGATGACATGAATTGGTGGGAATATCTTGACTACAGAAGTCTAGAAATTAGCATTGAGCAGAGCCATACACTTGTCGAGTGGAGGGTGCAAGACCATTGGATAAATAGAACTGGCATTTTGCTGTTTGCTGTCAAATCACTGGAAGCTGGGCCAGTACTGAGGGGGGGTATTGGTGTAGCCACAGCTGCTGTGTGTGGAGCTAGATGATGGAAATGCTGAAATTCAAAATGTGATAACACATCATGTCTCTACCGGCTGTACGACAGGCTGTAAAGGCAAAGGAATAATGAGTGGCTAAGAGGGACAGAAAACTGACTGTCTAAGAGAAGCAAAAAGGGCCAACATGGACAATGACACTCATAAACTGTGTAGGAAAATGTTCTTACATTTGCCTTATAAGTGATTTTCTTATTTATGCATGGCAAATGAGGAAAGCTTGGTTAGCTTCAATCATTTCCCATGTGTATCTAATTAACTATTAGATTAAAAGCTGAAGATTTTTGTTGTGTGCTTTTCGTTAAGGGAAAGCTGGAATTAACTAACATAATGATATCAAGAGAAAAAAGTTTCCTATCTGTTTGTGATTGAGTCTACCACTTCTTCAAATTTTGACACCAAGACAACCTCATTTTTTTTGTTTTGTTCACCAACTTTACCCATTAACTACTGAGGAATAAATAATGCAGTGAAGCCAATCAGAATGATTGTGACATTGAGGTTTTGCTTTTTGACCCCCTTCTCCTGGTACAGCCACCTTAAAAAAGCACCATCAATTAGTGGCTAATTATTGGAAAAGTTATGGAAGTCCCTGAATTTGGTGCACAATCACAGTAATGAAGTGCATTTTATGGTACCTTTGATTTTGTAGAACAACATCTATAAAGAGCATTTGCTTTGAATTATTTCTCGAACTATAACACCACATTCTTATTTTACCATAGGCATTCTATGATGAGGGAGAGTACATCATACGTCAAGGTGCCAGGGGAGACACATTTTTCATTATCAAGAAGGGAGAGGTTAGTAATGCTTAACTTAATTAACGATTCTTTCTTTTCATTGACTAAATGAATGAGCATCATAAAATTTTGAATTTATAGTTACAGGTTTATGCCATTGGGTGAGTTCTATGTAACTTTTCGCTATTGATTTTCGCTATTGCTTAAATAGCGCTATCTACTGCGAGGATCATGCATCATACGTATCTATGTAACTTGTTAATAATTGTGCTATTTGCCATCTCTGTTGATTGATTTTTGTAGGTGGAAGTTACTCAGAGAGCAAATGTGCATGCAGAACCCAATTTCATTCGCACTCTCAAAAAGGGGGAATACTTTGGAGAAAAAAACCTCATGGGGTAAATTTCGAATTTTCTTTTAAGTCATTTGAAGTCATGAAAAGTAATGTTGTTTTTGACAGCATAGAAGCAGACATACTGGATGTGTTCTTGTAAATAACATATGGGATCACTGATTGCAAATGATAAACTTAGAAATTGGGCAAAGCCGGGGCGTGTTATACAAAGATTCAGCTGTGAGACACGGGTATACGCTCCATACATACCTTTTAAGAGTGTTTCTTTTTTTTTTTTATAATTTTTTAAGCAAAATATGGTCTAAGAAAAGGAAAATACTTTCTTTTAACAGCGATGAATTTCGAACAGCAAATTGTATTGCAGCCAAGGGAGGTGTGCAATGTCTAGTGTTGGATCGTGAGTAAGTATTAGAAATGTTTTCATGTTCAATCTTTTTCTGAAAAAGGTTCTTAAAGTAAACATCATCCCAAAGGGAACAAGCTCTTAATAAAAGCTATCTCAAGCATTTGGTGTTTACAGCTATCCAGCTGTAAGATTTGTCCTTTTGTGAATGTATAAATCACAAATCATAATACTTCTGGTCCAGTTCAAAGTTCTTCCACAGAAAAGGAATTTAAGTGTCATTTAAAAAGGCATATTTTTCTCATTGTGATGTCATTACTCCATGATGATTTCCCAGCTTTATTTGTATTCCACAGACCTTTTGAAGCATATATTGGAAGTTTAGATGACTTAAAAACTGACAAGTATAGTGACAAGGCTAGAGGAGTTGAGCCACAGACTGCAAGGTATTAAATTTGTTTTAAATTAATTTTGATGTTGCCTCAAATCAGCTATCTATTTGGTGGTTATCACCTCTAAACAAATAGCCAAGTTAATGTTGTAATGGTCCATGAATTTGCAAGATGTTATTCATCAGGTATGGAATAATACTTCATCTTTTGTTGAATCATATTTAAGTTGGTTTTGGTTGTAAGAGGAACAATGACCGTGATGATACTGGCTGATCACATCATTCTGACAAAAGGCTAAAGCTGGAAATATCAGCTTTAAATACTCTTTACAGTGATTAATTTGCATTATCAACTCAGCTGACAAAACCAGTGATGAATTTACATTATCAACTCAGCTGACAAAACCAGTGATGAATTTACATTATCAACTCAGCTGACGAAACCAGATTAGCTGATTACATGTTGTGAACAGTACATATTGAGTGAAATGATAATGAGTGTATTAAGGAAGGATCAAAGAGCAACTCCTAATAATGCTTTCCTTTCTAAAAACAGTCTTGCGGTTGAATTGATAACTTATTCTGATTTAAGTTTTAAAATAGGTTGAGGAATGAATCATTATTTAATTGACCCCATTTAAATATTTGATTGTCATGATTGATAAAACAAGACTCTATTGATATCAATGTCTAATTCTTCTCCAGGGGTAAATTTCTTCAATTACGTACATCTTTTGTATAAAGTATCTTTTAAATTAACATTTCAATATCTAGTTTGCAGTAACTTAGTATTCCAATATGCTATGGGTATCTTTCACAAGGGCACAGAGAAAGGTCTGACTTTCAAATAAGATTCTACAGCACAAATGTGAGCTTTAGTTTTTGATCTGCTTTTTTTTTTAACCAAATTGTAACATAAAGTTCTAAAGGTTACATCCTAGGGGGTTTTTTGGAGAAAGTTTGTTAGTCTCCTGCCTCTTTGGGTTGAAAAAGTGCAAACAGAATCTTAATGGGTATTATACAGCAACTTGATTACTATGTGTTCATGATTAAACACGGAATTTTCTTTTTGAGACTCCCATAACGGCTGTCAGTTCAAACATTTAAACCTAACAAGAGTGATTAATTCTAGTGTCGCACTCTGCTTATTTGAACTAAATCGAAGCCTTAATTTTTTTTTTTATAATACGTAATATACAAGGCTAACTTAAAGTTTATTTAAATTTATATCCATGTTAAATTTGGATCTTGCATACTTGGTGTTTACTATTTGTCAAAGGACTTACATTTATTTCTCCCTCTTAACCCCTAACCAAGTAGACAGATTCAAGAAATTGAAAGGTTGGTACATTTGAAGAGTATTTCATGCACCAGCAATCTAATAATAATGTTTTTAAATTTGAACTCACTGAGCACTTAACTTTACTTTTTGAGATACTGACGATTTAAATGTGGTTAAATTGCTGTTTTCACAGTAAGTAAAACTGTGTTGTGTGGTATTTGCAAGTAATCTCACATTATTCAAATGCATTATACATTTCTAATTTAATGATTTAAATGATGATGGTGATTTTTAAGACTGGTTTTTAAGTGAAGTGTTAAGTCTGGTGTTAAAGTGAAATTTTTAGGCCTGGTGTTTAAGTGAAAGGAGGTGTTTTTCAAAAAATGTCACTGGCATACTTGGAGAAAAAAAAAACTCTGGGTGCTTCCAATAGGAGTTGAACTGACAACCTTCTGATTAGGACTTCAGATGCTCTGCCACTGAACTATAGGAGACTTACAGCAAGCTAGGGATAGACAACAACATTTAGGAATTATTTGCAAACCTGGTCAAAGTGTTTACACCTAACATATGCCTGCCAATTTACATCAGCTATTACATTTCTTGAAGAGTTGTTGAAACCTTACATCTGGTAAGGAAGTACTTATTAAACACGACGATATATTTTTTTCATCCATTATCTTACACACTTCATTAGGAAAACAATGTTTTAAAATTCAACGGCAGAAAATAATGTTCTTGCTTTTAAACTCAAGTGATAATATTGCACGTGACATGCCAGGTGGATACTCAGATCATGAACAGCAAAATGAACATGATTTGACTGTGTTATGAAGAATTTTGTCAGCAACTTAATTTCATTGTACTAGAAAAGCACCATATTATAAAAGTCTACGTTTTGCTCATGGATTCGTAGGAACCCAGCAATTCTAAAATGAAGGGAAAAATGCTGTTTATCTAAGTTGTTTCTTCATCAAGTTTTTGCTATTAAGATATGATATACAAGTCAAACCTTTTTAGAACCACCTGTACATAAATTCTCATTTAATTGTAGTGTGCTTTCAACTAGACAGGTCAGAAAAAAACATAAAATTAATAATTATGTGGGGATAATTTATGTCTTGATGTACAACAACATTATAAGCACTAGCCAACATGATAAATGTGTGATACTAGGAGAATTAACTTGGATTTTGTGAGAGTCACATGGTGAAGTATTTCCTTTGAGAAGTACAAACATTTTAGATTTTTTTCACTGCACTGTATGTGAATTGAAAGTTATAAGGATGCCTGTAGAGAACACAGTGCTGGACAAATATTTTTATTTTTGAAAACAATGGTTGTTGTGGTAATTTGGATATATCAACAAAGTTGAAATGGTAAATTGGCCACCATAACGATTACAAAAGCTGACGTTTTGAGCATTAGCCCTTTGTCTGAGCGAATCGTTACAGTGGCCAATTTACCATTTCAACTTTGTTGATATATCCAAATTATTTCGTTACCCCCCCTGACGCAGCCCCAAAAAGTTTCTTTAGAAACTATCAGCCTTTATTCAGTTGTTGGGGTAAGGTACCTTGAAAAAAAATGTTATTTTGTGTGGTTGTTTTGACTTCTCTAGATAGTGTTTTACTATGCACTTATGACCTATTACTGGGTTCTGTTTTCTGGCCAAGTTTCCTGTTTGAGTTACTCTGACTTAAGATATGATTCTTTGTTAGTGGCTAGGATTTTTCAAAGAAATGTTTTTGATGGCTGTATACATACTTATTACAATTTTTTCTTATTTGCAGTCGCACAAAAGAAGAACAGAATGAGTTTGCCAGTGTTTCCTTGAAAGATATCTCAATCTTGAAGACACTGGGAGTTGGAGGATTTGGACGTGTTGAATTGGTGAGTCCAGTGAATCAGTAATTCTCATTGATGGTTCATATAGTATATCACTGCTCCAGTGTATCGTGTAAGCCCAGAGCATAACAATCCATTTGAAATAAGTTGCTAATAAGTATGTTTCATGCAAATATGTCAATGGTCAGTAGGAGTCCATAACTCAGATATTCATGGAAAAGTTCATTGGAATCTTTGCATGTTTATCATTGCCTAATGTTGTACATGTGCTAAAATCACTTAACCAGAATAGAGTAATTTTTAAGATTTTGTCATCCAGATAGGTTCTCAAAAACCTTGAAGGTTGTGAAATATCTGCCTTAACCCTTCACAAGCTGACATCATTAGCTGATTCTCCATACTATTCTTTATGTGTTTCCTATGTTCTTTTAAGGAGAAATTGTATAATAATCAAGAGCTTCTTGCCCTTGGATCATTTTATATATTCTCGTAGCCTTCGTGTTTTGTTCTGAAGTGGTGTTGTTGGGAGAAATTGGATGTTTATCACTGAGGAGGTTCAAAGGTTAACATGTGTTTAGGAGATCAAGTAATACAAGTGATATGAAGTGGTTTGTAACTTTTGTCTGATCTTTGAAAAGAGGAAACTATCAAAAGAGAAGGAAAGCTTAATAGAAAGGTTAAAATAATTATCAGCTTGGAGGAATGTGACTTTGCTAATGAATTATTTGAAATTTGTTCAGTAAAATATTATTTTAGATAAGTATTGAAATGGTGAAGCTCAGTATAAACAGGGAAAGCATGATATAGAGGTTGCATTCATTACCAGTTCTGTCTCAATAAACCTTTAGAAATCACTGCTTATTTTTGTTTTTGGTCAAAATAAAGCTTGCAAGCGTTCCATTTTGTCAATGTCAGGTTCAAGTCGCTAATGAAAAGAAAACATTTGCCCTGAAAACTCTTAAGAAACATCACATTGTTGAAACAAGACAACAGGACCATATCAATTCAGAAAAGAAAATCATGATGGAGGCCAACTGTCCCTTCATTGTGAGGTGAGTAATTACAAATCTTTTGGCTGGTCTGAAAAAAATTGTTGGAAGATGTTTTATCAGGAACTGTTCTTTAGAGGAACAACTATTGTTAATATTGACAGGGAAACTCCCCCTTTGCATTTACTCTTAATAGTCTCGCACAAACATACGCACAAACATACGAAACATCACTTTGGAATTTATGCGTTATGTATTTAGTGACCCTCGACAGTCACGTTCATTAACTTTACCTCTTGTCTCCTTGTTCATCTTGTGAATTTGTACTTGTTAAAATGTTGAACCTTTTAGTCTCTGTTCTTCTTCATGGTTAAATGGCCCTTTTTACAGTTGTGTGCTTGGTTGCCAAGCCTTTGAACGGGAGTGAGGCTAGGGGTGACCTTGTTATGATACAAACCTCGCTGCCTTTCAAATGTAAATCACTTTGTTATCATGCTAACTAGATACAGGTCTCTATCACAACAAGGTCACCTTCAGCCTCACTCCAAATCAAAGGCTTGGCAACTAAGTACACAACTGTAAAATGGCCTATT